CATACACAAAAACAAATTCAAAAGTGGCTTAAAGACTTAATAAGACATGACACCATAAAACTCCTAGAAGAGATCATAGGCAAAACATACTCTGACATAAATCATACCAGTGTTTTCTTAGGTCAGTCTCTCAAGGCAATAGAAATTTAAAAAGAAATAAACAAATGGGACCTAATCAAGGGCTCACAAATGGTTAGTGGCTGAATCAGAACTCAACCCCGTGTCTGGTTCCGAAGTCTGGCTTCCTCTCCCTCCATTGTGACGCCTGTATTCATAGGACTAGATCTTGTCTCTAAAGCCGTATCTCTGGTCCCATCCATGCTACACAGGCAAGAGTGTCTCCTGAGCTGGTCGCAGGCAAAACTGAGGAAGTGCCACAAAGTTTATCTTTGACAACAGCCAACTCCATTGCAAGTTTTCTTTTTGCCTCCCCTGCAAACTCTCAGCAAGGTGGTGGTTTCATCAGTTCCTGGCTGGCCTTCCCAGTAGCCTCAATGGTACGTTCCTCTGAGTCTATCTTCTTCTCAGTACCTCATACTCTTGATTTCACCCACCACAGTCTCCTTTATTCAAAGCTCACCTACCAATTCTATGTCATGTAATAATGATTAGCGAAACCTTGTATGGTCAAATTAATTACTGACTTGAAGTCACTTCATTAACTAGTTACCTCTGTATGGTCTGAATGTTTTAATGCAATAAAGTACTCATGAATTACTTGCTTAATTAAAAATACATCTTAAAGAAAAAAAGAACAAGGATTATCAGGGTGTGAATTTTGGTGCTATTTTCTGTCAAGTGGGTCTTTCACTGTCCCTCAAATCACACCACATAGGCAGCCATCTACTTTGCTTGGCTTGGCTGGCTTGATCACCTCTGAATCATTAATAGCACAGGACACATTTTTTATACTTCAGAAAACTGGAGAGAGGGGGGGAGTCCATCTTCTTACTAGGAAACCCCAATATCTGATAACTCATCTAGTTACAAAAATCACAGTCCTGTCTAACTTATCCAGCTGTATGTCCTGGTATTGATATTGTCTTCTCCTTAAACCACAAAACACTTCTCATTTTCAGTTTTTCAGCACAGAAGGACTGAGTATACTGTTGTTACCAAGAGCAAAACCCAGAGTCCAATTTGAAGACCCTGATTTTCACAACATTTTCAAACCCTCTAATCCAGCCTTCTTTCTCTTATCCATATTTTCTCTCTTGCCTCTCTGCTTTTTTTCTCTGTACAGTTTGTCTTAACACATGAAGAAAATACTTTTAAACACAAAGAGAAAAATGGATGGTAATCTATTACAAATGACCTCTTAAAACTGAAGCCATTCAGTCTGCTTCTTTGAACATACAAAATCGTTTGTCTCTTCTGAAATACTCCACAGCACAGAGATGAGTGTATTCAGATATAATTTCATGTGATTACCCCATAAGAAGAGCTCGTATCCACAACTCTCTATCGGGTCTCGTTAAGCACATAAGCGAACTGCCTTCAAGTAGACCCTGTCCATCAAATCTTTATTTTTCTTTCATGAAGAGTCTACCTTGCAGGCAAACTCTGGTAATGTTGCCTCCCTATTAAAATAGCAAGAAAGGAAAGTTTGAAGTTGGAAGAGATCTGGAAGAATCTTTTTTTTCAATAAATTTATTTATTTTATTTATTTATTTTTGGCTGCGTTGGGTCTTTGTTGCTGCGCGCGGGCTTTCTCTAGTTGTGGCGGGCAGGGGCTACTCTTCATTGTGGTGCGTGGGCTTCTCATTGCAGCAGCTTCTCTTGTTGTGGAGCACAGGCCCTAGGTACACGGGCCTCAGTAGTTGTGGCACGTGGGCTCAGTAGTTGTGGCTCACGGGCTCTAGAGCGCAGGCTCAGTAGTTGCAGCGCACGGGCCCAGCTGTTCCGTGGCATGTGGGATCTTCCCAGACCAGGGCTCAAACCCGTATCTCCTGCATTGGCAGGCAGATTCTTAACCACTGTGCCACCAGGGAAGTCCTGGAAGAATCTTTGTCACAAAAATTTGTCCTATGTCAAATATATTTCCTGAGGGAAAAAAAAAACTATAAAGCAGGATCCAGGCTCCTTGCATCCTATGGCTCTGTCTCCTTGTATGAACTTGGAATCCTCTGTTAGAACCTCAGTATCTTACCAATAGATGGGGGACCAAAAGATGGGAGAAGAGAAAGAAAGTACAGAGGATCATATGAGGGTTGGGCATCATTTCTACCCACATTCCTTCAGTCAAAATTCAGTCACAGAACCAAACCTAACTGTAAGGGAGGTTGGAAAATGTAGTCTAGCTGCATACTTACGAGGTAGAAGTGTAACTTGTGGTGAACAAAATGCATTTCTACCTTATTCTCTTAACTGAAAGCAGCAGTGCCAGGAAGAGTTAAAGAAGACATGATGATTTAGATACTGGGAGAAAGTCCAATATCATAGGCCGGCCAATGTATTCCACACATAATAGGCTGGAAGACAGTGGCAGAAGAGGCAGGCTTAGAGGAGATAGAAAAGTGTCCAGAGGATGGGATGGGCACAGTGACATAAAACCTATGAGCAAACATACTCAGAATTTCAGACACGGAAGCAGCAGGAATTTGGGAATTCAGTGATCAGTAGCAGAGCCAAGTCACTCATTTAGTATTTAGAAGATGTGGGGTTTGGAGTGGAGGATAAGATTAGGGTCAGATAAGAGCTAGGATGAAATAACCAAGAGCTAGGAATATTATAGAGATGGGGCCTGGGCACAAGGGTAGACAGTGAAGGCAGATCATTTGTGAAGTGACTCCTTCGTAACCAGCACAGTGGACAAGAGCTGTTCAGATCCCTCCTGTCCGAGGTCAGCATTGGTCCTGGAGCAGTTCAGAGACTACAGATAGGGTCAGCTGGGAGGGTCAGCACATGGGAGCCTGCTAAGCCCTGCCATGATCTACCCTCAAATGTTACCAGTAACCTTACTCTGCTTCTGGGTCCCAGGAAACAACCCTAACTAACCTTATCTTCCTCACAATGTCCTGGGATGAAACAGGACAATTGAATCAGTACAAACCCTTCAGAGCATAAAGCAAATGCCCCTCTCAGAGTAGGGAGGACCTGGGACAGCATATTTGCTTACAAGTGAGAAATAATAATAAAAGTGACAGCTGACATATACAAGACACAGTTCTGGGGCTTTAAATACATTTAAACACTTAATCTTGCCAAAAACCTTTATTACTCCAATTTTATAGATTAAAAACTGAGCAATACAGACTTATGACTTGCTCAAGTAAGTGGCAGAGCTGGGATTCAAAGAGGTCTGGCTATAGAATCGATCACCTTAGTTACTATGCCATACTGACTTTTTTAGAAAGTCAAATTTGGCCAAAATTTTGTTTGTTTGCTTTTTGCGGTACGTGGGCCTCTCACCGTTGTGGCCTCTCCCGTTGTGGAGCACAGGCTCCAGACGCGCAGGCCCAACGGCCATGGCTCACGGGCCCCGCCGCTCCGCAGCATGTGGGATCTTCCCGGACCGGGGCACGAACCCGCGTCCCCCGCATCGGCAGGCGGACCCTCAACCACTGCGCCACCAGGGAAGCCCTGGCCAAAATTTCATATCACATTTTGCTTGCTTAAAGGAGGTGTCAGCAAAGACACTTTCTTGCACTTCCCTCCAGAGGTCTCATCTACCATTTTGTTTCCAGAAAGCTGTCCTATCCTTTTGGAATGAAGACTGAGTCATGGATCTCCAAAGAATAAGTCACAGACAGTTCACTTCCTCTCAAAGAATGTACACTAATATGCAATAACCAGCTTTGCAGTCTCGTATGTCACAAATAAATGACTGCAGAATAAGAAGAAACCTTAGGGACCAGAGTCCCACCCATTTTAGGGCAGAGAGGCTAAGTAGCTTGCAAAATGTCCCTTAGGAACAAAAGCAAGTTGTCCTAACTTCCATGGTAAAAATACTTGCCTCCTGACTACAGACCACTTATTTTCTCTACTCAGCGTAAGGGGATCATAAGGGTTAAGAACCAGAAACTTCAGATTGTGATAGGTGACTGCATTAATTCTTTGGTTGCTAGAGAGACTATGAAAAAGATAAAAGGGTTCAACTACACAGAATTTATTTTCTATGAAATAAGAAATCCAGCATCTTAAGTAACTAGTCAGGAATTATACAGCCATATGTTCAGACATGTATTCATTCATCCCAGCCTTTATCCCAGCATTTATCCATCTATCCATTCAGGCATTTATTCATTCATTTGCTAAAGTATCCACTCATTCCAAAATACCTACTGAGACAAAATTTGTCTCAATCCTGGGTATTTTTAAGCACTTTTTTCAGTCAACTATTTTTCTTTCTGCTTGGTTTTCAGATTTTGTTAACAAGCCCAGTGTATGGGATTCCAGTACATTCCATTATAAAATTATATTAAATATCTTTGGGGAATCAGAATCAAGCCATTAATTATGGAACAGTTCGCAGCTTCCATCCATTAATTCAAAGTAAAGAGGACTATTCACTTAGGAGTATTTCCTTTGTTCCTCAGGGCCTCATTTTTGACCCCAAGGTGTCTTTTACAGACCACATGCTTGGTCTCAAGCCAAACGTGGACAAGGCTCAGTCAACAGTAAACTGCCTTCAGTCCCAAAAAAGTACTCAGGTTTCTGCAAATTTGCGTCTATGAGAGTTTAAGGGCTTTGTTGTCCCTGTTGTAAAGTACACTCTTTACTGTGACAAAGACATGTATTCTCAGTTTTCTTGGAGGACAGTGGAAGAGGGATCCCCATATCCTGCTTCCCTATCACCACCAACTGGTTAGTGTTGTTTGTTCAAACACTGCAATTTTACCTTCTGCCCTAAAGAATCCTACTTAACGACCCAGGGTTCTTGGAGCTCTAAGAAGTCTAAAATGATTTAGTTCAGCATTTGGTGCTGTACCACCTGAGAACATTATTTTCTGATGGTAATAAGGGAAGGAACTACTCAGGAAAACAAAGCAGGATGTTGAGGTGCCAACATTCTGAACATGTTTATTCATGTTTGGATTTACGGATGCAAAGTGTTTTACATGCTACAAATGTTTGTTAAAAACAAGTTGTTACAAATCAATAAATAATACTAGCTACAACTATTCTCTACTATAAACAGAATAATAAGCAGAAAATAAATAGATGCAACTACTTTGGTACACACGGACATGCGTTTTCTGTCATAAAACTGATAAGAGCACTAACATTTTTAGTTCTTTGTAGTATTTTCCCTTGAGATACAAGTTTTTATTGCACATTTCTTTGCACTTGTCTTACCAGTTCAGGTTGGTAGCATATCAAAGAATTACTGGAAACTGGTTTTCTACTGGGGTCGGGGGGAGGGTTTATTTTCTTCCATGTGGTCATTTATATCTTACAAACGAAAAAGCAGCAAGGTACAAAATTTAGTGTGTGTGATATGTGCTCAAGTTTGGGAATACTGACTGGTATGAAAGGTTCTTAACTAGCTGCTCATCAAAATCATATATAACAGCCATTAAAAACTCCCTTAGCTAGGAGCATGGAAATCATTGGCTTGGTTATTCAAAGAGTAGACAAACAGAATTCCTGGATACTGTTTCCATTCGGGTTTTCCAGTTCGTATGGTTCCAGCTGGCGGTATTCAAAAGTCACACGATTTACATGTTTTCCGCTGGAGACCATGCGCAACACCGTGTTGTCACAGCCAATTTTCATCTGGGCTATAATTCATGGAAAAAGTAAAAGTTTCCCAGAAGGTTAGAAAGGACACAGTCAAACCATTTCTGTCCACGAGATCATGTAAACACGAAGAAAGCAAGGGGATGTAGCTTCCTCTCACGTACTCAAACCAAGCATCTGCCATCAGGTGAAACGTGTTTGTTCTCATTCTTATATTGTACAGCTGACCTTGAACGACGTGGGGGGTGCATGGGGCGTTAGGGGTGAGGACCCTCCCCACAGGTGAAAATCTGCCTATAATTTATAGTCTGCCCTCCAGATCCACGGCTCCTCCAGATCCGAGGTTCCACATTCTCGGGTTCAGCCAACCTAGGATCGTGTAGTACTGTGGTATCTACTATTGAAAAAAATCCGCCTATAAGCGGGCCCCCGCAGTTCAAACCACTGTTGTTCAAGGGTCAACTGTATAATTAATTGTAGAATAGTGAAATTAAGCTCAGCCTTTCTCCTCATGTGCAAGAACACTGTTAGTCAAACAAAACTGGCTGCAAAGAGGTAAGAAGATATCTCCTTGTGCTTTTTGCGTTCTCCTACCTGCAAAGCTTTGGTGGTGAAGGCAGATGAAGGCAAGCATCCGACCTGCTGCACCTTTGCTCTAGTTGTGTCCTCAGTGGGGGCAGTGCCGCCCTCTAGGGACAGGTTGGAAATTTGCAGAGGCAGTTTTCAGTTATATCTGGGGGTGCAAGTGGCATTTAGTGGGCAGGGCTGAAGGATGGAGTGTATTGCGGGACATTTATGTAGACCAAAAATATCACCTATTTATTATTTTCTGAGCCTCAGTAAAAATTCTGTTTTACATATAAACAAAAATATAATTTGCATGCTTTAGACATACACTAAGTATACTCATTTTTGTTCTATTGTTCACCTGTACTTTTTATCTCTAATTTTTTTCTGTACTTCTTATATGGAATGGCTTTTGATATCCTTACTTCTCTTAAATCCAATCTTATTCATTATTTTTATAAGCATCTGGCAACATTTATGTATCTTCTAGTACAGATGTGCCTGAGCAGTTAGATACTGAAACTGTGTGTGTGTTTAAGGCATTCTTCAAAAATTTTTTTTCAGGTTTATTGAGGCATAGTTGACAGAAATTGTATATATTTAAGGTGTACAACATGATGGTGTTATATAAATATACATTGTGAAATGATCACCATAATCAAGCTAATCAACATTCATTACCTCACAGTTACCTTTTGTTTTTCTTTTCACTCCCCACTTGCCTCCCTTCTAGCAACCATCTGTTTGTTCTCTGTACCTGTTTGTTTTGTGAAACTCAGCATTTTTATTAAAAATTCCTTTTATTTTATTTCTTCAGCCTCAATCTGGTTCCTGAGGCAAGATTTATCTGCCCTAAAAGAATCCTTTCTGCCGTTTTAATTTTCTCAATCTTTGTTTCCCCACGTTGTCTCTATAAGGCCTAAATTCTGAGCACCAGGGAGTCTAGGCTAAGCTTCTGTGAGGAAGTCCAAAGTTAATTTTTAAAAGTTTTTTAAATAAATTCATTTATTTTTTATTTATTTTTGGCTGTGTTGGGTCTTCCTTGCAGTGCACAGGCTTCTCACTGTGGTGGCTTCTCTTGTTGTGGAGCACAGCTCCAGGCATGCAGGCTTCAGTAGTTGTGCCACGTGGGCTCAGAAGTTGTGGCTCGCTGGCTCTAGAGCACAGGCTCAGTAGTTATGGTGCACAGGCTTAGTTGCTCTGCAGCGTGTGGGATCTTCCCAGACCAGGGCTCGAACCCGTGTCCCCTGCATTGGCAGGCGGATTCTTAACCACTGGGCCACCAGGGAAGTCCCTAATTTTCTTTAAATTGTTTGCAAGGCCATTCTTTTCTTATCTTACTCTGAACTTTAATCTACATAACGTGCCTTATTTCCTTTAGTTAATGCACATATCATTTATTATTTGACATAATTCCTAATACAATCCATTGTAAAGGGCAGGATACCTAAGAGTTCTTCATTGTCTGAATGACTTAAGAGGGGCTCATGAAAACATGGTGAATTAAAGAAAAAAGTGAAGTCTAAAATCAACCAGTGAGTCAGATAATTCAAGCCTTCACATTATCTTAAGACTGGTTTCAATTATCTGGATAATACAGGCAAAAGTAGTTTTTTGGCCTTAGTCACACCCTTTGAAATCAAGTCATATAATTCATGCACCAAAATTACTATGGCTTCAATTATCTAAATTTTAAGGCATGAGTGTGCTTCAGTTCTTAATCTAATCTTTTTACCCAGCTCAAACGCAGCTCCTCACAGGTGCTCTCCATCAGCCTGGAAGGATCCAGTGCCTCTGAGAGCACACACAAAGGGAGAGAAGCCATGATGCACTGGTTTAAACCAGGGCTCAAGTGTAAATTAGCATAAACTAACCCCCAAGCTTTTAGCAAAGTGGGTTTTTAGAAATCTTTTTCCTTTACCTGTGTACATTAATTCTATTTCAGAGAGATTTTGTTTATTAAGTTCCCAGCATTAGCTCAGAGACAGAAAATACTGGTTGGCAGACCTGGCTTTGATTAAAACTGGTAACAGTTGATCAAAAGGCTGTCTGATTTGCAGCTTCATTATTTAGTTCGTTAGTGATGTGTGCTTAAAAAGAGGAAGGGGGCTATGGTAAGGGATGAAAGACTGTTCTTCTGTTTGACTTCTGTCTCTTAAAAGATAATCACTGGTTCCTGCATCAGAAGTACAGATACAGGAGTGACCTTTACAGAAATGTTTTATGTAACCCTCTCCCCCACCACACACTTGGATTTCGTTAATTAATTTGGTCACTAGTCAGCAATTCCCACCCTCCTCACCCCACCCGAGCATAATCAAATGGAAAAGCTTCACTGATCCATAACAAAGAAGACCTGATTCTGTTTGGCGAGAACCAGGTCTTTTATTACCTGTGACCACTTTTAGATCTCAGAATTTACCTCTGTTTTGCAGTGATCTTTCAGAGGCTGGTTTTGCTGCTAGAAGTTGGGGACATTCAGCAGTTCTGAGAATTTCTAATAAAGCGTATCACCTTTTAATGTATCAATATTTACTAAGAGTAATACACACACATATGCATATGTATGGTAAAGTTATTTAGATATTATTTCATTTTTATACTATTACTAATTGACAATACATCCACTGTTTGAACTACAGTTTTCAGTCAGTAAAATCTTTAGTCTCGAGAGGAGGAAACCAGAAGGTGGACAGAGCACAGAACCAAAAAGCTTTGTCTTTTTCATAGTCGTACCTAGGGCAAACCTTAAACACACAACCTTGTTACTTCATAAGTTTTTCTCCCAGTGTCAGATATTGTGGTCATGCATTCTTGATACTGTGCCTAGGCTCAAACGCAAAATCCTCACACTTGCTCAATGTGCAAAATCGAAGTTTTTTTGGTGGAACTTGCCCTCCCATGTATAAAAAATTTGAGACATTTTATTTAAGGAAACAATCTTAATAGGCACATAAATAATAATCAAAGAAGTATCTTACCAGGGCCATGAAAAGGATAGCAGAGATCAGCTAAAGGCATCATCTTGGAAGGGTCCAGTCCAGTTCCTCCCAGCAGCTCCACAAAATCTCCTATTCCCACACAACCTGCTGAGGACTTCTAAGAGAATAAGGCAGCAGAGGAAGATGTATTTAAACCAATTATGGAAGTCAAACCATTGAACCAATGGCAAGTTGGTGAATTCAGTCAGCTGTAGACATCCTGGCAGCGCCATTTAATTTAACATCCAGGACTCTGGGAAGTAAGACTTTTTAAAGAAACAAAAAAAATCATAGGAATTGCTTTTCTAAATCGGTTGAGTAATCATTTAAAAAAATGTATGTGCATTTAAAAAACATTTTTTTATAAGCTCAAGGACTAGAACGATGAAATTGGAATCTGTAAACTCCATATACAATATATGAAAATTGAATCTGAAAATGCTTTGCTTTTTAAATCATTTGGACATACACAATGAATTACTTGAATTTCTTAATGCATGCAGTCAGAGTTTGTTTTTTTTTTTTGCGGAACGCAGGCCTCTTACTGCTGCGGCCTCTCCCGCTGCGGAGCACAGGCTCCGGACGCGCAGGCTCAGCGGCCATGGCTCACAGGCCCAGCCGAGCGGCACGTGGGATCCTCCCGGACCGGGGCACGAACCCGCGTCCCCTGCATCGGCAGGCGGACTCTCAACCACTGTGCCACCAGGGAAGCCCCAGAGTTTTTATAAATAGGGCTTCCACATCAGATTTTTCTTCAACTTACCTATTTTCCTCTTCTTTTTTTTTCTTTTTTTTTTGCGGTACGTGGGCCTCTCACCGCTGTGGCCTGTCCCGTTGCGGAGCACAGGCTCCGGACGCGCAGGCCCAGCGGCCACGGCCCACGGGCCCAGCCGCTCCGCGGCATGTGGGATCCTCCCGGACCGGGGCATGAACCCGTGTCCTGTGCATTGGCAGGCGGACTCTCAACCACTGCGCCACCAGAGAAGCCCTTTCCTCTTCTTTATAAAAGACTTTTTCTGCTATTGAGACAATTCTTATCCTTTCTACTGATAAGGATTTAGACTAGTTATAAGAATATTAAAAAAAGAAAAGACCCCTCATTTGGGGCTCAAATTAGCTAGAGTTACCATCAACTTTCTCCTTCCAACTAAAATAAACTTATTTCAAGCTACTCATAATAAGTATGTAGTCTTAAGACTTTGTGTGATGCACTGTAACTGCCTTTTTCTGCTTCCCTTCATCTTTTCCACACTGTGTCATCCACAGCAATTCCTGTGCTTCACTTTCCCACGCAAACAAAGCAGACCCCCTCTCAGCCCCAGATGCCACAGTTTGGGCCACCCGTTTCCCGTGATCAGGGCTGGCCTTGTGATCGTGCCACCCGTGCCCACAGGGCTCACACTTACAAGGCCTAGTGCTTGGCCTAATGCTCTGCTGTCACCATTTTGAAATTCCTAATAATTTAAAAATAAGGCCCCTGTATTTTCTTTTTGTACTGTCCCCCCACAAATTATACAGCCAGTTTTGCCTGTGACCCTCTTCTTCATGAGACATAGCCATCAAGAGATCTAGCGGAATGTGGCAAGGTGCTTAGAAGCTAAACAGATAGACCATGCTACATAGGGACCAAAATCTAAAACAGGGAATGTAAAACACACACATACATAAGCGCACACAGTGCAACATTTGGAAGATACTGAAATGCAACTGGAACTAAACAACCAATAGAAAATAATACAACAGCAACTCTTTGACTAATGAAAGGAAGCAGGTGTGGGTATATATATTTAAAGCACCTACTCTGTTCTGGGTTCTATGCTTAGGTATTTTACATGTAATTTCATCAATGATGAAATAGAGGGTTAGTTAGCCCCACTGTGTACAGGGCTCATTTTCTTGCATGAAGAGTTGAATGAGCCATTTAGAGGTAAAGGGAAAAAAATGTAATTGCCTTTCCCTTGAGTAGAGGGTGTCCAGGGGGAACATGTCTTAGACTAAACATTCCACCTGGTTCTATAGGTTCCAAATTTCACAGGAGGAGGTGAAGGGGAAAAGGCAGGCTCAGGAGAGAGAAATGGGAAATAAGAAGTTGGGAAGAAATGGAAGCTAAAATGAAGGGAACAAAACCAAGAAACAAGGAGGTTGGGAGCATGTACTTTTTGGCATTCAGTGACTTTTCTCTCCTCTTTCCAAACCTCTCAGCTGTTCTTATAAACAGCGGCAGAAGCTGAGTTGTGTAGGGACCTCTGGGGTTCAGCTCCTCAACAGTAACCCCCGAGATTTCTTTGTTGAGGTTCTATCTCCCTGGACCAAGTCACTCTCATCTCTTGCCTAGACTATGATAATGGCCTTTTAGGTGCACCGCTGCACCACTCTGGCCCCTAGAGCCCATTCATCATCATTCATGGAAGCCAGAATGACCTTTAGGTAACCGTCTCCTTCCCATCGTGGACTTTGTCAATTACTTTGGTCATGAGGCCAGCAATTCCCAATCACTCTCACCCCACCTGAGCATAATCAAATGGATTACATCACTTTCCTGCCTGAACCCCTTCGGTGGTTTCCCACTGAGAATAAACTCAAACTCTTTAATATGACCCACTGGGCTCTCCACCCCCTGGCCCTGCCTGTCTGCCTGATGCTGTATGATACCACTCCCCCTCTACTTTTCCTTCTTTCCATTTCTAGAACTCAGTAAGCCCATTCCTGCCTCTGAGCCTCTGCACTACTGTTGCTCTGTTCCCGGCTCTTCCTGTGGCTGCTGGCTCCTTCTTACCTATCACTGAAATCTCACTTTAAATGTCTCCTTCTCAAAAGATTTCTTTCTTGACCATCTCATCTCACGTAGCTGCCTGCCCCTCACTCTACCCCCTTATCCCCAGCCACCAATCTACTTCATTATCTGTAGGGCACTCACCACTATTTAAAATACATTATACTTTTGCCTGTCTCATCCCACTAGAATACAGGTTCTATGTGAGTAGGACCTGTTTTGTTCATTGCTAATTTCCTGCGTCTAGAAGAATGCCTTGCACATGGTAAGCACTCAAAAAGTATTTTGTAAAGCAATAGATACCTAGAACACTGCAGACTTCACATTTTTTTAAGTGCTAAGCACCAAGTTTACTCCTCATAGCCAAAGATAACTAAAGTGCAGATCTCTCAATCTATCACACTTGCCATCTTCTATATTAAACATCAAGAATGACATACAAAAAATCTGAAGCCTATAAGGCTAAACCAAAGACATCCACTTATCCTGGCCTTTATCAAAGGATTATTCTTCCACTAAGGTTCAACTTTAAAAAGTAGGCACTGGCCTATGAATTTAGGGCTTAAAGGAAATTGGATTTACTGCTTTTCTCAGCCCTAGTCCTATTTATTTGGTTTTCACTGAAATCTTTCTGATTAGGAAGTATGACTATCTTTGATGCCAGCAAATGCATGAGCTGTCTTAACCTAGGCATATGAGAACATAAAAGGAAATGAGGATGACTCAAAGGAAATAAGCTACCAGTGCAAATAAATGTGGTCAAGCTCAGCATTAATTGTAAAATCCATACAGAAGTTGATGGGGGGGTCTCAACTAATGTTCTGTTGCAAAATGTATGGAATTAAATGTAATGCAAAAAAATGCTTCAAAACTTTACTGTATTTTGCAATATAAAAATCCAGTTTTGTATTTTATGCTACGCTTAGCATTCCTTCGTGACACAGTCTGTCAATGAGATACTTCCTTCATATCAAAAGAAAATTCCAATAATCAGAAAAACAGCTGCATAGATGACTCACACTAGGTTCTGCTAGGAGATAATTTTTGTAAAAGAGGCAAGTACAAGAGAGTTCAATTGTAATTATATGCCACAACTTTGCCATCTGAAAACATTTCTAACATCACAAGAAAAGTATTCAAGTAGTCAGAAGAGGCACCTGAGTATGCAACTTGCAGTATAACGGAAATAGAAGAGTTTATTAAAGCAGCGAGGGCAGGCTCATGTGAGTTCTAACTGCCAAACAGAAGGACATACTACACCAGTTCATCCACATCTGCCCTGTATAGTTACTTCTGCTCTGAGAAAGCTGAGGTCTTAGGAAGTGACTGGGAAGCAAATAAGCTACTCACCTTTAATTGCAGACCATTTAAGTGTCCCAGGGTGAGATCAGATATTTTGATCACCACAGGATAAATTATGGAGAAGCTGCAGTTGCGATGCTTATGTGGCACGACCAGAGTAAACCTTCCATTTGGGGTCTGGGAGATGACATTGCAGGCTTTGTGGAAAAACAAAATCACATTTTCACTGCTTGGTATGCTGGGCTTTTATAGAAAGTTATCTCATCCTTATTCTAAGCTCCCATTCATGGTCTAGGGGCTTGTGGCCCAGAAGAGAGTACTTATCACAAAGGTGATTTGGAGAAAGGAAGGAGTTGGGGAATAAAAAGCACCAGTGATGTATGGACATCGTCAGGAGGCCCTGGCTGCAAGGGGACTTCTAATCGTAATCGCAGGGGGTCACCTTGTTTATAACACTCACAAGCCATAAATTAATAACCAACCAAACAATACTAGCTGGTAGAAGTTCTAGGGACACTTCATTAACTAGGGTCCAAGTTCAAGCTGGGAGTCTGGAAGAATCAAGGCTTAAAGGTAAGGCCAGAACTCAAACCCTGTCTGTCTGAAACCTTTATTAACTGAACTTGGAGCTATATGTTACTTTTGAGATAATAAAGTGAAGAAACATAAAACTAGTTACAAAATAGACTGAGAAAAATACAAAGCAGGCTTATGTCTGATAAATATTTCCTGGGTGTTAAGTGATAAGTTGCCTAATAGGTAAATTTTAAATGTTTATCTACTCCCAAGACTTTCTGAAATTTTGTTTTGTATCTCAAGACTAGACTTATAATAAATTTATTCTTCTAGCTATGAAACTAGAAGCATCAGAGTTTGTATGGTTTTTGGCCAGTTATGGGACAAAAGTTTCTGATTGATCAGACTATGTCAGAACTACCTTTTGCTTCCATCTTATTTTTTAATTACACTTAATTTCAAAAAGAACTGAAATTCCTTGATGATTCTAGAAGGTTTCTGATCTCTAACCAAGCAGGATATAGGAGAAACAGTTCATGTTGTCCTCTAGTGTTATTCTGCTCCAGTCCTCAGAAATAGCCTTTTGGGGGTGGGGGGGCGTCTTTCAAAAAATTTTTTTGATTTTTAAAAACAAAATTTGGGAGATCAGTCAGTACATTATTTTTTGGCAGATTAGGTAGGCCCCATTCTTCAACCACATGAAATGTTAATAATACTATTGTATGCAACCAAAAAAGAATGTTTTCCTGATTTTTTATAAACATTTTCCTCTTAATGGGGAAGAACTAATACACAGATGAATGAACCCATTCTGATTAAGATAATGTGTTTTAGGCCTGGGCTATTCAGCTTTAGAGCATCTATTTGTGTATCCACCAGAAATGAACTAAATTAGAGCAATGGGTTCAGACTCAGAAGGCAATGTTGAGGTCCTCTGGTCCAACCCTCTGCTCAGGGCATGAAATCTGTCTACACATCCCAGATATGTAGTCTTTCAGCCTTCACCTAAATATCTGTAAGACTGCAATTTCATATCTGATCCCTCAAGCTTATCCAGATCAATGGAATGACGTGGGGGGATTAAAGTTTGTCACTGAATACATTGTAGTAGCTCAGGAGATCAGGATAAGACTGGAGAAAAAATAGAATTCTAGCCACCATAAATTAGTATCTTAGCTAGCCTGGTAAATAAATTAAAAACTGATTTGATTTTCATAATAATGAATTGGAAATATCCTTTAGGTCATTTCTAATTACAAAAGAACTTCCATTCAAATCCTTCCTCGCTTCAAATTTCTTAAGTCTGTGCAATGATGCTACCTTTGAAAAGCAGAACTGACACTCTCTCCCCCCAAGTCCTGCCTTCCAACTAACAAGACATGAAGTCCACTTACGAAAGAGGTTAGGATCTGTCTTTATGGTTAATGTGAACCCATTTCCTGGTTCGTGGACCCGGAAGAAGATCATGGCCACGTTCTGGGAGGATCTGATGCTCCTTCTGCTAAGACCACTCTCACAGAAATCTATGTACCGCTCAGTCATGGGGAGAGGGTGATCCTGGGAACTGGGGAACTTCTCCCCCTTGAGAATCCAACCATCAAATACCTTCCAACAAAAAATACAGACAAAGATGATCACTTTCATCAACTCCTGAAGTCATAGGTGTGTTGAAAAGGGGGAAAAGGTTATCCAGCCATGGGCCTTCGGTCGTAAGTGAGGAATAGACAGCCCACACCCCCCTGCACACGTGCTTTCTATTTGTATATATTTTGACTGTGAGGGTTGTTTGCAAGTCGCATTATTATTTATTTATTGCTTTTCCCCCCTTTATAAACTCTAACATTTCCAAAGTAAATAAACTTTCTTATACTTTATCATTTCAGCCACCTTGGTAAATGAAACTACAGACGATATACATTTTTGTGTTGGTCATATTTTCCACACATCCTACCTTCAGAAGAATTCCACAGGAACATAATTTGGGTTTCAGTTTTTCTCTTTCCTCATTAAAATATGAACAAAATTTCTCAAAAACAGCAAGAGGAAAAACTGGAGCAGCAACTTTACCTACCTGCTGATGGTTATACACACCCATTTTCCTCATTTTTTTACTCTTATCACATATTAAAATATCAAGAACTACTTTTAACACTTAGACGATAATGGCTGGTATGCAAGTTTGGAATTTTTTCCTTCACTTGTTGAAGTTTGTAGTTGGCCGGACAAAAGGTCAGAGTCTATTGACTTTACTCTTAAAATCACCACAGGTCTCCAATTTAATGAGTCCAACCTAGTTCACGTTAGTAAAATTACCAGCTACAAATTATTTCACCAGATCAGTCCTCTTCTACTGCGTTTGACAGGTTCCAAAATAATTCCACTTTGGGATTTTAATCATATTCATTTTAACTGGACTGGAGAAGTCCAGCAGCCATCCCAAGCTGACCCGTTAGACTCATGGAGAACTGGGAGTGGGGATGTTATGAGGCTGGGGGACTTTTCCGCGCCTCCACCTGCCTCAGACTAGATTCCTTCTCAGCAAACTTCCCTGCAGCAGCCAGTGCCCTTCTGCTCCAAAATCAGGTTACCCAGGCATTGAAGACAGCGTCTGGGAGCCTGAAACAGCTCCACAGAGAAAGGGACCAGCAGGAGCAAGCCGGGCTCAGATCTCAGACATGTGAGGTCGCCCTCTAATCAGGACCTCGGGTTTGGCGGACCCGAGGGCTCGTACTAGTTGGTTTGTACCCCTTTTCACCTGCTCCAGATTGCAACACAGTGGTTCGCGCCACGAGTTCTAGTCTTTGGAAGCGCCGGGGACCGAGAGCGCACAGGGATGAATTTAAACCGCTGCAAGACCAAGGCACTCGCCCTTCTGGGAGTGGGGCGAGTTTCGCGCTGCGCGGGGGTCCCGGGCTGCGCCTCTCCCACTCCTGCACCAGCGGAGCATCTAATTACGAGCGTCGCCGGCTCTCCACGCTAGGGCGCAGCGTCCCGGCCATGACCCCTCCCTTGCCCCGCGGCTGGGGCTGCGCCTGGCGGGGGGCGCCTCACCTTCAGGAAGTCCCCGCTCTCACAGTCGATGGAGACCAGTTCGTAGTGGATGGTGATAAACTCCTCGGGCTCTGCGATAAAGAAGGCGGCGCAGTGCAGCTGCGGCCTGTCGGCGGTGAAGGTGAACTGGCCCTGGAGGCTCAGCATGTCCAGGCACCCTGGGGGGCGGGGGGGAGGGCAGCGGGGTTGGGGGTCCCGGGTTGCAGCCACTGCGGCGGCACCCGGGCAGCCCCTCTCCGCTCGCGCCCTGACTCCCAGCTTCGGCTGCGCCCCGCTCCCGCGCTCCGGGTGCGTCACCCCATCTCGCCCCAGTGCGCCTCCTCGGACTGACCCTTAGCCATGGGAATTGCGCCCCCCGCGGTCCTCAACAATCCCCACCTCCCCGCTGCCCGCGGACGGACGCCAGCCAGGCAGCCCCGACTCACGCATAGCGCGGCGGTACAGCTGCTCCCCCGGCAGCTCCCGCTTCAGGTTGGCGCTGAAGAGTAGGAAAGGGTCGTGGTCCACAGCTTCCCGCAGCTGGCCAGGAAAATAAGTCCGCAAAAGTTCAAGGAGGGGGAAAGGGGACCAGAAGCAAGGCACCGTCGCTGCCCCGCGGCAAAGAGAATAAAGTGACCGGGTCAATGTCTCCCGGGTCCGGAGAAGACGGGAAGGTTTAGACCTTTCCCGTCAGACCAGGGTATGCCCAGGGACCAGAGGGAAGGAGGAAGAGGCAGGGAGGAAGACCCAGGGGAAACCAGAGGAGAGAGGGGGCACAGTAAATGCGGAAGAAAGAGCTAACCAAAACATGTCTGAGAGCAGAGGCAGCCTGCCCACCCCCAAGGCTGGACACTCACCACAGGAAGGCGTGATGGGTCAACCGGGTAATCGCTCACCTCCAGGTACCGGCTCTCCCCTCTTAGAGCCATCAGGCAGATCAGAATGAAGTGACACTGAAGTTTGAAAGTGGGAGCCATGCCGGCCTTGCCTCTGCAGCTGGTGCTTTCTGCTCCGCAGGTCTGGGCTTTGCTTCCCACGCGCTCCCCCAGGCTGAGAGCTAGAAGCTGGTAGGGTCCCTTTGCTGGGTCTCTTTTATAGAGCAGTGAGGAGGGGAGGCTCTCTGCCCCTTAACTGATCTGAGCTCAGTAACCATGGGTTACTCTGTCTCAGTGACAAAGTGCTTGGTGATGACGAGGGTCCAGCTCTCAGCCACAAACTTTCTGAGTGGTCCAGCGTTATTCACCGAGAATGATTTCAGACACTTAACAACTTAGTGAATTAAAGTGTGGGAGAAAGAATGAAGCAAGGATAGAGAATAAGGGATGGCATTTTACTTGGTCTGCCACATGCTGAACTATCCTCTCCCATGGACATGCAGGGAATTTTTGGTTTTGCAAAGCCAAGTGACAGTGTTACACACAGGCATAAAATACCCAAACACACACAACCTTATCATACAGACTTGTCACATGGAACCATGTGGAAATTGTCAGAGAATATAGTATTCATGCAATTGCTCATGCCTCTCAGGAAGAAACTTGAGGCATTTTCAGCTCCAAAGAGAAGCTGATTTCGCAGACTATTGCAATCATGTAATTCAAGCTTTCTTTCTGTCCCTTGGTCTTTGCTTTATCCTGGTCCAGTTTCTTGTAAGCTTTTCCTCAATAGAAAGCTAACTGTGGAGTCCATGGACTCCTAGATTTCAGCCGAGCTCTGTCACATAGCCTGAATGTATATAGGATGGACACACTCCTGGGCCAGCTAACCGTGGCCATGACCTTAACATCCATCTGAACCACTGAAAGATGGAGTCATTCCATTTCACACCTTCGAATACCTGGATTACTTTCATACTCTGGTAGAAGGACCTGCTGAGAAGCTTTATTAAAACGGCTCATCAGAGAATTTACAGGGCTAAACAAATGACTTAGAGATGCAGGAATAAGTTAACCTTATCTTTGCTGATTGGATGAGAAGAGAATTGCTTCTCCTTTATGTCCAAAACTGTGGGAAATATGAAGATGTCCACTTTCAGTCCCCCCCCCCCACCAATCTCTGTGCTGAGCAAGGCCACTACAAATCCTAAAAATATCATGTTTTTACTTCTGCCTGACAGAAAACATGGTTACTACCCACAGCTTTCTTTGCTGTTAAAATTATTCCAAATAATAAGACCATCATATAGGGTTTTGACTCAAGGAAATAGTTCTATATTTAGTTTATAAATACGCAGAATGAAGCAGCCATTTGTCTAGTGGTGTTAGAACTTGATATTTTCATATTTAAGACAATTCTGAGCTCTGAAGGAGCTGCCTCTTAATTGTTTAACCTGGAGACCTTCCTACCATAGTCCAATTTTGTAAACAGTCCTCAGACCGCAGACAGCATGAGAGGAGACGGCACCCAAATGTCATAAACACTGGCCACTATGTTCTTTTCCCCACCCTGGGACTTTTTAGGTGTCTGAATTTTAGAGAGGGTATAAAGAAACCTGAGAGGGGGCTTCCCCGGTGGCGCAGGGGTTGAGAGTCCGCCGGCCGATGCAGGGGACGCGGGTTCGTGCCCCGGTCCGGGAAGATCCCACGTGCCGCGGAGCGGCTGGGCCTGTGAGCCATGGCCGCTGAGCCTGCGCGTCCGGAGCCTGTGCTCCGCAACGGGAGAGGCCACAACAGTGAGAGGCCCGCGGACTGCGGGGAAAAAAAAAAAAAAAAAAAAGAAAATGGGTGAGAGCAATGGAAGAGCCATTTGGACTAGACAGAAGAAAAAGTTTCTGGACAGTAACTAGGTCTATGTCTGAAGAAAAATTATTTTCATGGACCAATTTAGTCATTGAAACAATTAGCTTAATATTTGTTTAACCAAATTGATTATTTTGAAATATGTTCTGAGTTAACTCAGAGTCCCCAAGCATGCTGGTTGGAAATTATTCATATGTTCATCTCCATTCTCTGCACACATTTTAGTTTTTCTCCATGTTTTTCTAGACAGCCTCTCCCATGCTGATGTTAATACAATCCCTGATAAGTATATTTTAGATCTTAAATTATTGTTAGGAAGGGTTAAGACATTCTTTTCATTAGGTAAGACATTTTTCCTTTCACAAAGCCCCAGAGCAAATTGTCACTGTGTTAAGCCTGAAGGTCAAGGTGACCACATGATACAGAGCCATATTCAATCCATGAACATGGCAGGGGTGGGATTTTAAAATTTTGCTGAGACTGAAGAGGTGCACATAGCCAACTTCTAAGCAGCGTAAAGAGGGACTTTGTTGTCACCCACAGGGCCTGTGACGTGATTATGAGAGCCAAGTGCAAGTTTGTGGAGTCCGCCAAGGCTTACACACTGCGGTGTCTGAAGCAGAAAGGGGACAATGTAATCCCAAATCTCTTTCTACTCTAGGGTCTGTCTTAAGATTCCCTTAAGTATTCCCTACATATAATAGTACACTTTTTCTTTTGTTAATCACTTGAACAGAGAACATTAGCAACACCTGCTCTAGAAGACCTTCCTTTTCCCTTTCCCGAGTGGTATGTTGAAATGTTGGAAATGGGACATATGATTGAGTTCTTTAAGAAATAAAGATGACTGAATATAGCCCATTGTAATTAACCACCACCAACAAAAACTAGTTTTCAGTAAAGGGTCACATGACCCACCACAATGGCACTAAAAAAAACCAAAAAAAAAAAACAAACTAGTTTTCCATTTCTTTCAAGATGACTTGCTGTTTGAATGACTATTTTTTTTAACGTAGCTATTTTTTTTTTTTGGTTGATTTAAAGTTTTAATTTCCTTCTTCTGTGGGGGAGAGTCATCATTTGGATTAATTTAGATAACCCACAGCATCTGGTAAAAGAGGGAGTTAGCCTAGGAGAGAAATTCTTACTGATCTTTTTCTTTGCAGCGCTGCTGATTTATTTCAGGATGTTCTGCCAAATTTTCTTCAGTCTGAAATGAGGTTAATAACACCTGCAGAAAGGCTCCCTAAGCTCAACAGAATTTTGTGGTAACGTGAAATCCTAACACTGGAAATCAGATTAATAAAATATCTTTACTCCCAACTGTCCATGGAACAAATGGTTACTCACAAGCTCCCTGGGTAACTAGTTAAGGACAGCATCGATACAACTCACCTTTCTAGATGTTCACAACCTTAAGGACTTTTCTTTCAGTAAAATATTCCTGAAGATGATTTCTGTAGTATGTCCTAATCAGGTATGCCTCCCAAAACCCTTTTTATTTTTATTTATTTTTTTAACATATTTATTGGAGTATAATTGCTTTACAATGGTGTGTTAGTTTCTGCTGTGTAACAAAGTGAATCAGTTATGCATATACATACATCCCCATATCTCCTCCCTCTTGCGACTCCCTCCCTCCCACCCTCCCTATCCCATCCCTCTAAGTGGTCACAAAAACACCGAGCTGATCTCCCTGTGCTATGCGGCTGCTTCCCACTAGCTATCTATTTTACGTTTGGCAGTGTATGTATGTCCATGCCACTCTCTCACTTCATCCCAGCTTACCCTTCCCCCCACAGTGTCCTTAAGTCCATTCTCTTAACATAGTTATTTTTAATACATAAGTTTTCTTTTTCTGATGTGTTTGCAATCAGGAAGGAAGAAACTAAACTACTTCCTTGGGGGGACTAGTATAACTTGGCCTTTGAATGAAACTCTCACATGTCAGTGACTTTCAACTCAAATCCATTATCTCCCTTTGGTGTGGTTAAGACGACCAGCAGTCAATAGAGGTTAGGACTTTTGGGGGTTGCAAGTGACTGATAGCAAACTGGAACTGAAGGGGAAGTTATTATCAGGATGGCTTGCAGAATGCTTGAGCAGAAAACAGGAGTCAGGAGCTATTTCCCAGTCTCTCTGTCTCAGGCTGCCTTCTCCCAACATCTGTAGCTTTTGTGGTGGTAAACCAGCCACCAGTAATGCCTTAGCTTTACAAGTTACCCTTAGACAAATAAAAATACTCTGATCCAATGTACTCATAATCCCCAGTCCACAAACTTAGTGGGAAAAGGCTCAGAGGCCAGAGGATAGGATCCGGTCATTACATGACTGTTCTCCTGACAGCCATATGAATGGAGAAGGGAGAAGCGGTTTCCAGAAAGGAAAGGAATGCTGGATTCACAAAATAATAGGTGTCTTCAAAATAGAGAAACAAAATAAAAACAAAAACCCTGGTTCAATGACTTCTTTGATCATAAGTTTTCTCACCTGTAAAATGGGAACCTACACTGGGAATTATTATAGGCATAACTCATTTAATTGCACTTCACTTTATCGCACTTCACAGATATTGCATTTTTTACAAATCAAAGGTTTGTGGCAACCCTGCACTGTCAGACAATTATTAGCCTTTTTCAAAAGCAAGAAAGTTTTTTGTTTTTTGTTTTTTTTGGCTGTGTTGGGTCTTTGTTGCTGTACGTGGGCTTTCTCTAGTTGCAAGAGCGGGGGCTACTCTTCATTGTGGTGCGCGGGCTTCTCATTGCGGTGGCTTCTCTTGTTGCAGAGCATGGGCTCTAGGCACGGGGGTTCAGTAGCTGTGGCGCACGAGTTAGTTGCTCTGCGGCATGTGGGATCTTCCCCAACCAGGGCTCGAACCCCTGTCCCCTGCATTGGCAAGTGGATTCTTAACCACTGCGCCACCAGGGGAGCCAAAGAAAGTATTTTTTAACTAAGGTCTGTACATTGTTTTTCAGACATAGTGCTACTGCACAGTTAATAAACTACAGTATAGTATAAACGTAACTTTTATATGCACTGGGAAACCAAAAAATTTTTATGACTCAATTTACTGCAATATTCACATTATTGCAGTGGTCTGGAACTGAACCCCAATATCCCCGAGGTATGCCTGTATAGGAATTAAATATTATAATATATGCCCTTCAGAAAGGATAACCTTAAGTGTAGATATTATTAAATTATACCAATGATATTATATGTCTTTATCACTAGGGCTTTCCTTCTAATGATAATTTTATAAGAGTGCATGTGTAGTATATGTTTTTTATATTATTATTACAGTAGAATGAATGACTTCATATTAGAACATTAACAGACTTTAAAAGCCATAGTTAGACAAAGAGAGAAATAAGTTGAAATATACTACAGAACTGCATTTCAAAAACTAGCTAGGATTGGGCCCCATTAAAGATGGTGCATTATACTGGATAGTGGCTTAGCTGCAACAGAGGGAAAAACTGAAATGTAGAGAGTAGAGAAATTGCTAAGATTGAGGA